TAGGACACGCTCCCCGTCTCCATACCCGTCTCCTGCATGACTCTTTGCTAGTGTTTCCTCACTATTCCGGATTGTGTCGTCTGCATAGGCCCCGGAAAGAACTGCTGGTGACACTCGACCCTGAACTGGATAAAGCAGTTCGAAATGATGGATGGATGCAAGGGGAAGTTCTGTAATGTTGAGACAGATCATCAGACCATCAATGTTAGATTTGAGAAACGCATTGCACACTTTCCCAGACACACACAAGAATGTCGCCATTAAATTAGCAGTATTCCATATATGTACTATGTAGCACTATATTGATGTCCTTTTCTGGGCATCAGTTTCAACAGCTGACTATAAGACAATGCAACTGCTAAGTCTTTCATACAACAAACTGCTCTGTTTGTCTGCTGAAGCCATAGTCTGCACTATTTCTCAGCCTCGGGCTCCAGCCCTCCGCAAAGGAGGTATTGTGCTCTAGACTGCTGGGAAAATGTTTAACACGGGATCTGCCACAGAGCTGATTTTAGCCCGCAGGACATACACCAGAAAAACTCAACAAAACAAATCAGGAGACAAGGATTGCTCACGCTGTTTATAGTGAAGGTAGAAATCCTGAACGATTAAGGACAGAAATACTTTTCCATTTTTGAAAAAAAAAAAACATGCCTTGATCTCACATTTCTTTTTAGGTCGTTTGTATTTTCCAGGCAGAAACAACCTACGGTACCAGGGTGACTTCTATCTAGACAATATGAGGAAGCAATAGAAAGGGCAAACAGGATGTTAGGATACATAATTAAATGTGAAATCTTGTAGCTGTCAGAAGAACAACAGTAAGGAATTATGGCATCCTCTGAATGCACCCTGCTTTCAGACTGTTACATTGGCACAGGCTGTTTCCCCTGCTACTTCCCTCCTACTATTCTCTAACAGTGGAGTGCAGCACAGCACTGTGCAATTGTGGTATAAAAGCACAATCAATACATCGTTAAATAGGGAGAGGTTCAGTATAGCAAAGTTAAGCATGCAGACCTTGGAAAAAACTATGCCAATGCATGACAGAAGTGAAGTGTAGAGCTAGACCATTACAGGGATGTCGTAGGGATGTCACTGCGAGAAGGCAGTGGTGCAACAGGTCGGACGCTCTTGTGCAGATGGGATGGTGAAGGTCAGATATCCAGTCAGATATCTGGTCACTTATGCTCTGTAACTCTTTCCGGGGCCTATGCAAACGACACAATCCGGAATAGTGAGGAAACACTAGCAAAGAGTCATGCAGGAGACGGGTATGGAGACAGGGGGCGTGTCCTAGGTGTGCAGGCTGAACCCTGCAAACCTGCAAACCTCCCCTAGCAACGTTTCACAAGGGAAACCTCTGCTCACGCCTTTGTGCCCAGCCAGGCTGGACCGTTACCATAATAAGTGCCCTCTCGCAGACACGGCCTGCCCATAACTAATCGCTAGCAGGTTTCTTGAAAGCATGGCTGTATTTATAGACTCGGAGTAGACTATATTAAAGAGTGGTGGGGTCTGGGATGAAACATCTGTGCCTTGGATCATGCCAGAGAACCTGCAGACTGAGAGTCTGTCTCCCTCCCCGGACTCCCCAGAGGGTCAGAGAGGGGGCGTCTGGGTTGCCACTGAAACGGACTTGTTTCTCTGTTTCCAGCGCAATAGAGTGCACGATCTGGAGATTGCTTTAAGAAGGTCCACGTGCGGGCTAATGACTTGTGCAGCGGACACGAGGAGAGAGACGCTTGAAGCGTGGAAGGGGAAATGGATTTTTCAGGTTGAGTCTATTTTTAGGCTTGCACAATGGAGATGTCACAGGGGATGCTCAGCTACGAGCACGTCCCAGCCTTGCCTTGCTGAGTGCGAAGGAGGTGACCGCTGGGATCACCAGCCCCAGTGGCCGTGGAGAAAGGAGTCGATCTGAGCCAGGGCTACCCAGGCGTTTTTAGCTTGCGTCACACAACATGGTTTTCGCCAGCAGGTCTATCACCCTGCAGCTCACAGCTGGCAGCCCCACTGAAGCTCAGCAGGTGTGAGCCTGGTCAGTCCCTGGATGGGAGACCTTCTGAGTAAGCTGAGGCTGCTACTGGAAGAGGTGTCAGTGGGACCGTTAGGGGATGCTCACCCTGTGGTCTGTGTGGATCCTAATGCCCCAGTATAGTGACAGGGCACTGTACTGTAAAAATAGGCACTGTCCTTCAGGTAAAACCTAAAGCCAATGTCCTGACTCTCTGTGGTCATTAAAAATCCCAGGGAATTTCTGAAAGAGAGTAGGGGTGTAGCTCCAGTGTCCTGGCCAAATTTCTCCATGGCCTTTACCAGTCATGGCCTCCTAATAATCCCCATCTATGAACTGGCTTCATTACTCTGCTCTCCTCTCTACTGAGAGCTGGTGTGTGGTGAGTGTACTGGTGCACTCTGGCTGCTGTCGCACCATCCAGGTGGGGTGACACATTGGTGGTGGAGGGGAGCAGTTTGAGTGGGGTGTGCAGAAATGCACAGTATAAGTATAAGGATTATTAATAGCATTAACTTAAAACTGAAAAATGAGCAGCAGTTTAAAAGTGAAAGTTGTGAGTTCACTTGTGCAGGACTAGAACTTCAACTAGAAATAGAACAGTTAAATATTTGGTTTCTTTTCAGTGCTGGAAAGAGCTGCTCTCTTTCAGATCCAGACCCATGCTGATTAAACACAATCTCTCCCGATTCCACTTCACACCTGTGAACGTTCCACAGCCCACCTCTGGTCGGTGGTCCACAGTGGGGAAGCACTGCCTTAAACCCACTGCCACTTAGTGACTAAATCAGAAAAAGAAAAAAAAAATTAAATACTCCATAAAACCTGCTTTTTATTTCATTTTTAAAATATTTCTCCTAATCATCATTCATATGAGTGTACCTTAATGAGAGTTCTGGTCCAGTATGTTTTTTTAGCTGGACAAATTCTCCTTGCTTAATTTAGAGAATGCAGTCCTCACATGTGTACTGCTAATGCATGCCTAAGGGGTGGATCGACACAACACATATAACTTTGTCTGGTCGTGTCCTCCATTCCTCCTGAAGAATGAAAAGTGGTTATTTTAAGGGTCTTTCAGTTTTTGATTGCGCATCCCAAAATGGTGAAAACATCGCTAACATTGATCAGAAGGCAAGCTCGTCTTGGACGTCAGTCCCTAAACATGCTAGGTCACCTTCCCCATTTAATTTTGCCTCAAAGGAAAGGGAAATTGCTTGACACACTTTCTCCTAAAAGCCTTCTGGTTCCCCCATTTGTGTTTTCTATTTCTTTTTTAAAAAACTCATGTTCCAGGCCCAGGGTCTTTTGGGAACAGTCCTACTTCCTAGTAGTAAATCACTGTCCCCTTGAAACTGGTAAACTTGCTGGTGGTCGAAGCATGAAAATGTCATATACGGTATTGTATTTTTTAAATTTCCTGTGAGCTCCTGAACGCTGCCCTGAGGACCGGTGTCTCGGGATCACTCTTGAAGATCTGAGTGTCAGTGTCTAATATGTTCCTTATGTATCCTTCAGGATTCCAATCCCCCTCTTCAAACCATAGTTAAATACCTCCTTCTTAGTTTCTTACCCTTGGTGGAGAAAACAGAAGAATATTTCCCAGATTTGGCAGGGTTCACAGCTCACATGTGAAGTCAGGCAACAGGAGGGTTTAGGACATAGACAAAATTGTCCTAAATTGTCCTGACTTGTGATTTGAGGTGACTGTGATGGGCTGTGATGAGTTTTCACCCAGCTTAATCACATACAGTACTTGATCAATTGAACTTGTTCAGCCCTTGCTATCTTTGTGGAGTTTGCATGTTCTCCTTGTTTTCCGGAGAGTTTTCTCCAGGGGCTTCAGTTTGCTCCCACAGTTCAAAGAGTTCTGGGAAAACCGGCTCTGGTGTGAGTACCGTATGTGCGTGTCTGTGTCTATGTGCGCCCTGGTGTCCCATCCTGCCTTGTGCCCGGTGCTTGCTGGGACAGACTGCAGCTCCGCTGTGTGAATTGGATAAAGCAGTTAGGAAATAAATGGATTTGAGAGCCTTACATTGTAGATCAATCGAACGAGAGACATTCCCTCTTGGTTCAATTTGGACATAAATTGTGCCTTCGGAGTTTGGGTCGGGAACAAGTTTTCAACCCTGCTCATTGTAAAGCAGGGGTGTCTAATCCCGGCACCCTGAAGGCCAGCACATCTCCAGGTTTTCATTCCAGCTCAGCTCGTAATGACCCCGGTTAGTTCTATTTACTGTACATAACCAGTTTAGCAGCCTCTCCCAGCTGGTCTGGAGCTGCTGCTTTAAAAAGACCAGAAGAACCTGCAGACACCCTGACCCTCCAGGACTGGGGACCCCTGCTGCAGACACCCTGACCCTCCAGGACTGGGGACCCCTGCTGCAGACACCCTGACTCTCCAGGACTGGGGACCCCTGCTGCAGACACCCTGACCCTCCAGGACTGGGGACCCCTGAACTAGGTTTGTACTGTAGTGCTTCTGGAAAAATGGTCAAAACTGCACAGGTTTGTGCCTGAACATTTTTAACCTTTATGTCATAAGAAAAATATTATATATAAATATTATATAATAATATTGTATGTGCACTGCATACATAATGATGATTGGGATGTTTTAATAAGGGTGCAGACTTATAATAATAATAATAATAATAATAATAATAATAATAATAATAATAATAATAAATACAACTATTATTATTACTACTACTATTATTATAGTCATCGTAGAGGGAGTAATTATTAATTATAATTATAAGTTCTGTAACATTTTGTGTTCCTTCAAATGTTCAAGCTACGCTGGCGGCTTCCGGGTTCAAAGTTTTTTGGGGGTACCCAGGAAAGTGAGACAGTTTCATTTCCTCCTTAAATGGCAAACAGTTTCAGAAATCACATCCTTGCTCCCCGTTTCAAACCTGAGCTCTCACCTGGAGGGTGTCGCCGAGAGCCTTTGTCACTGGCCTCACACGGCTCTCTGAGAGGCCGGGAGGGAAGCCCTCCCTCCTTCTCTTTAAGATAACGCTTTTTTTTTTTTTTTAGGGTTTCGACTTTCCTCCCGAGGACGGGGGAGTGGTTTAGCTGTGCCGGTGCGACGGGTTCCAGTTCTTGTCAGCAGCTCCCGGGTCCGCTGACACCGCCGGGCTGTCCGGCTCACACACACCGGACAAGAATGACACGGCCGCGCTCGCGTCTCCGCGGAACTGCCCGCCTGGCCGCGGCGACGCGCTGACAGAGAACTGGACGAGGAATCGGCAGTCATCTGGGAGCAAAGAAGCCCGAGGTTGGTCGATCCTGTAGTTTTTTTTTCTTTCGTGCCTTCTGGAGTTATGAAACTGTTGAGCATAACTCTGAGAAAGAAGGGAGGGAGTGAGGAGTGCGATTTCGCTTTCTCTTTTCCGCGCACGAAGGAATGCAGGGTGCACAGCTTATTGCTTTGTAGCGCAGAAAACAAAGCAGCTCTCAGAGTCACGAAACTGTCGTCTGTCAGAAGGTAAAAGTTAGGTGTTGTTTACAGGTTCATCAGATTTGGCTATGAATCCGTTCACTGTTTTTTTAAGACGCACCCAGTACGAAATCTGGCTTTGGAAGGTAATTCTAAACATAGTGCACAGACCGCAACTCAGATTACAACCCTCTTTGCCTTGATTCCCACGCGTTTTTTAGATTGCTGTCAACCTGCTGTTAACTAAAAAACACAGTAGAGAGTCACTGTGAGAAACTGTGTTTTCTGTGTCTATGACTGGTTGATGCGAGAATCCACGAGTTTAAGAGGGGCTCACGCGAATGACCTACTGTACAGTATGAAGGTTACCTCGATTTCAAGAGCCTGGAATTTGTCATTGGACCGTCAGTGCCGTTCAAATGTTTTCCCTCCTGTCTGCACTGCCTGTTTAGATATAAATACAAGTGCTGTAGAGTGTTTTCAACAAAACAAACTACAGCAGCAGGCAGTAAAGCTGCTCTATGGGGGGTTTTTTTGGTTTTGCCTTTTGGGGCTTGGGGGGTTACCCGTTATTTTGGGTTGGGGCGGTTTTTCCGTTGGGCCCGTTGCCCCGTTCCGGCTTGTTTTTTTGTTCGGTTTGTGGCTGGGTTGTTTTTTTGCGGTTTTATTCAGGTTGAGGAGGGAAGGGTTTTTTTGGGGGTTGGTTTTTTTTTTTTTTTTCTCTCTGCGCTTCCTGTTAGACCTGCTGCGGAAAAGACGAAAGAATGCAAAGAGAGGCCACATCCAGGCTGTGCAGGCAATCTTGAGTAAGAGGAAGGGCAGAGAGCGTCTCAGCTGCTCAGCGCGCCGCTATTGTTCGGCTTCTCAGTGACTGGGGGCAGGTTCTGTCTGCAGGACAACTTCATTTTTGCCTTCGAAGCAGATTTCCAAACAGGACGAAGGCAGAGGTGCTGGCATCCTATCCTTTCTTGGGAGAATGCGGGGTATCGGCTTCAACCAAGTGGTTGGGAAACTTGTTCCACACCCCCACATCTCTTTGTGTACGTAACTGTCTCCTGTCCTGACTGGAGGAACTCATCCAGACGTTTCTTGAAAAAACAAAACAAAAAACCGTCGGCTTCAACATCGTAGCTGCGCAGTGTATCACAAACTCCCAAAAAGTAGTGAAATTACAAAATGATGCTTACAGATTTTTTAAAACTATATTTTACTCAAAACGTGAATTAGGAAACTTCTAAGGGTATGATCAAATACAGCTGAATAAATAAGGTTAGATTAATCTGCACAAAATAAAGAGAAAAAAAATGAATTACGTTGATTGTGTAAGTATTCAGACTCATACTTATGGTGGGAGCACCTTTGACAGTATAACAACCAAAAGCTTTTTTTGTTTTTTGTTTCAGTCTTTGCACACCAGCTTGGAGCGGTTTTTCTGCTCACGTACAGACAGCAGGTTCTTTCCCCAGATTTTCTAGAGGGTTTCAGTCAGGGCAGTGACTGGACCACTCGGGGACAAACACTTTCTCATCCTTGAGCCGCTCCAGTGTCGCTTTGGATCAGTGTCCTGCTTAAAGGCGGTGTCCAGTTTGACATCTGAAATAGGTTTCACCCAAAAGACTTTCCAGTACTTTTCTCCATGTATGTTCCCAATAGTCTTGACAAGCTTCTCCTTCCCTGCCAATGAGGTAGAACTACAAGATGATGCCCAACAGTCAGCATGATGTTGGTGTTTGATTTGCATCAGATGTGACGCTTTGCTTTTAAAAGTTCCATTTTGTCTTGTCTTTCCACACAAACGTTCGCCACGTGTTTGCAGTATCACTGAGGTCCTTGGTTGCAAATCCCATGCTGGGTGTGAGACGATTTTTTCTTTCAGTTCCTTACAAGCCTGCTTTCTGGAGTGACCAAGACATCGTTGATGGATGGACTCTTTCTCCCATCTCAGCTGCTGGACTCTGGGCCTCTTTCATAGTCGCTGTTGGTCGCGCAGTGACATCGCTGTTTTGAGACTCCCCGCAGTCTTCAAATCCTTGAAATTCACTACCTGACCGTGGGAGTTTGCAGAGACAGGTGCATTTAATCTGTAAAATCATGAGCCACTATTATCACAGAGGCCACTCAACTAATGGAGTGGCCCGTTAAGGCAGTTCTGTGCACCTAATTTAATACAGGTTTGCACAGCAAAGGATTTCAATTTTTTTGCAATTATGACTTTTCCATTTTCATTCATTTTAATGATCTATTTATATCCTTTTTTTTTGTTTCGAATGTGGAGTAGGTTGTGTTTATACAGTAGCAGGTATTAACTGCTTCTTCCAAGTGTCATGACTGCAAAGCTTTAAGGCAACAGTAATGTGAAAACCATGCCAGGGTCTGAATCCGTTTAGAAAGCACTGCATCCAACATCAGATCCTACTTGTGTTAAAAGGATTCAACACAGAAGTTATGTTATCTTTCATTCCACTGGGGCTGCTGGTTTTTCCCAGTTGGGCTACAGCTAACGTGCTCTCCATTCAACAGCTTGCGTCAGCAAAACCCTGCTATTGAGAAGCAGAGGTAGTAGACCTGGCCTTCAACATTCATATTCTCCTGACTTTCACAGGGTAAACGTTTCTAATGAATTATTCAGCTTGATTGTCATGGCAGTGTAGTACATCCTGTACTTTAATATACATTACTGTACTTTGCTGTATTGATGTTTGAGCTTGAAGGGCTTTACCAGCTTTGATGAAGAGCCCTGGCAGAAGAGTTTTGTAGTTCTCAGGGGTGGAGATGAGTATACAATCTGCCAGAGCTTCAGCAAGCCTGCTTCTGCTTTCCATCAGCAGAACAGCTGGAGTGCACAGCTGTATGGGGAGATAGGTCAAACTACCATTGCACCGTAGTTTGATCCCTTTTATGATTTATGAGCTGTGAGTGTCTGAAGACACAAGCACCTTGTGCTGGATATTTCAGCGTCGTTTCCCTCTTTTTCATAAACCGGCACGGCACGGGCTGACACGTGAAGCATGAATCATTTTTATATAGCGCCTTTCATGCCAAGACAGTGCAGGTGGAGAATGAGCATCCATCCACGCTGTAATCACTTCATCCAATTTGGGGTCCTGGGGGAGCTGGAGCCTATCCCAACAAGCAACAGGCACAAGCCAGGGTACACCCTGGATGGGACACCAGTCCATCGCAGGAGGCTCACACACAACTGAAGACACACTCACACCAGGACCAATTTTCCCAGAAGCCAATTAACTAACCAACATGTTATATAACCCGCGATGATTCAGAAAAACATAGAAAAGAGAAAAAAAAAACAGTGAATTTACTTCAAAAATTTGGGAAATGCAAAAATGCTTTCACATGATCTGTCAGAACCGAGGGGGAAGTTTTGCTCAGCCTCAGACAGAGTTCTCTGCGGTTTAGGTGCTTAACCGTAGACAGCCCGCTCACCCAAGGTGTGATGTCTTGTCTAGGGGACACAGTGCCAACCAGAAACCAGTGTGCGGAGCGATTGGTGTGGGGTGTCATAACTCAGTCATTGGGATAACAAGGAGCTGGGATATTTAGGGTTGTATCAATTAAGGCGAGAATTTAAAACAAAACAAAACGATGTGGTTAGAAACAATCTAGAAGCTGAATTTTTAACATTCTTGTTAAAAGAATAGCTGGACCATAGCTGGACCCTATGCGGCGCATGTTAGAACCCGGGAAAGCAAAGCAAAGTCCAAGAAGCCTCATCCGAAAGGGCAGAATCCAAAGGTCGGAGGGAGAGGTCTAAATCCGGGATAATCGTTCAAGGTAAAGCGTGCGGTGAGAGTTTACCCAAGCAAGCGGCGAACTGACAAGCCAGCGACTCAAATACCAAGCGAGGAAGTGTGGGAACCAGGAGTTTGGGAAGGGACATGATTGGAAAATGAGGTAACGAGTGCAATTAATGTGGACAGGTGGGGTGCGTGGTCGGAACAGAGCCTGCGACTTGCAATATCTGGAATGGATCGAGCTGCTAAGGAATGGGACTTTGGCTTCTCTGCCTTGCTGGTGAATGAAATGCTTGGCATCACTGTTCTTCAGACCCCTTCTGTGAGGGATCCATTGGACACCCAGAAACGAACACAGCTAACAAATGTCTTCTGTGGAGAAGTCAACAGGGAGCAGACATGAGTGTGGGTACACAGAGTGATCACAGTTATGGATGGTATGTCTCTCTCCACCCACAGTACAAAAGAAAAAGCCTGCATTTTCTGGGATTTTGACAGGGCTAACATTCCAGTGTCTGGTAGACCCAGGGAACTTAGCAGAAAATGATATGACGCGTTGACCCACACTGTGCTGCCAAGAGTGTTTTCATATTTCATATTCAAAAAATGTCTCTGAAAATATTTAGGGTTTACGAGCAGCTTGCTGAGCCACTGATCAAAGCTCGTGGAGTGAGTTTAAATTTCATAACTGAAAGTCACTGCCTTCCAGTTTCGTGAAGACCTCAGAAATGGTTTTAAGGGCAGTCGAAATTCACAAAAGGCACAGCAGTCCTTTGAAACCGAACTCAAAACAACGAGACATGACCAAAACAGGAATGGTACAGGGCTTCAATGAATCCGTACTCTGCATCCGCCAATTCTTTTACAAATTAAAATTGGCAGATTTTCTTCCACCTCGTTCATTGACAGTATGTGTGGGCTAATTTCCAGTGAGGCTGCACAGCTCTCCTCCGCAGGAAAGCGACAGATGTGTAAGAGGTCTGGGCTGTGCTCTGGACCGGACGATAGCCAAGCACAGAGTGAACAAAGTGTGATTTGCTGTTTGATCAAAAAACGACAAGCGGCACAGCAAAGCACGTGAGCCATGATGCTCACGGAGACACTGGCACACTGAGGTCCCGCACAACCTACACAGCCGTACTACCAGCAAAGCGTTCATTGTGCAGCAAGAGATGGGGCTCTGGGAAAATAGCTCCAGTGTGAGCGAGTGAGAGAGAGAGAGAGAGACAGGGAGGGAGAGAGTCCCTCTGTGCGCCAGTATTTGTGAAACCAAAGGCAAGTCAGCTTTACTCCAGGCATCGGGATCAGGCTGATTCTCTGAAACACGGCTGCCTGACACTCATGGCCCTGTGCTGCACTGGTGCCTGTGTGGGACACTGCCTCTGGTTTTCAGGTTGGTCCCAGTCTGGCTTTTGTTAACGTTCCTGTGACGGGCTGGTGGGGTGGTGGAGAGATGTTTTTTAATGTGTGATATGGAAATCGCAGAAACAGATTAGTGCTTGGATCGAATGTGGCATATGCCCTACACATGGAAAAGTTAGCTTAGTCTATTATCTTATTGTAATTATTCATAATGCCCTCTGTTAATGGGAGCAGCAATGATAAGAAATATCACTGGAAAGCAGATTCGAAACAGGTTAGTCATCAGTGTTGTGACTAGAGTATGAGATCCTTGAAGAGCCAAGGAACACGGTCTAGAGGTCTGTGCTATTAACAATGTAGATTGTTAATATCCTCTTCAGCCTAGAAAAAGAGTTACATTTTCAAGTCAAGGCCTTTAGAGTTTGACTAGCCTTCACAGACTGTGCTCTGACTCCTGGCCGTCTTGTCCGCTCAGCTCCAGGGATGCCTCTTGGTTGGGGAGACATGCTGCATTCCTGAACCCTTCTGTATTCCCCAGGCAAAGAATCCCCTGAGCTGGATGCCTTGTGGGTAGATCCGCCCTACACGCTGGCCACAGTCAATGAAGACACGCAAGGAAATGGCATCATGACTACAGGTGCTGTAGCGCACCACTGTGCTTTGACTTTCTTTGTTTCCCCGTTTTGTAAAGTTTTGTCCCTCTTCTAACCTCTTTATCCAGTACAGGGTCCCCCGGGGGAGCCCGGAGCGTACCCCGGCACGCAATAGGCACAAGACAGGATACACCCAGTGTATCGCAGGGCACACACAGACACACTCCTACACTCACACCAGAGCCAATTTCCCCAAAAGCCCAATTACCCTACTGGCATGTCTTTGGACACAACAAGAATTGAGCCCAGAGCTCCAACACTCTGAGGCAGTAATGCAAACCACAGCTCCAGCTGTTAAGGGACTGTTTAACCTCTGGAAGGATTGAGTTCGATCAGCTTTGTTCAACAAATATTAGGCCATCAGTGCGTAATTGCAGCTCTGCCGCTGGTGACAAGAAGCCCATGCAGTAAGTGTTGAGGGTCAGTGTTAGGGACAGTAGCTGAAATGGAAAAGGACTTCTGCATCTCCCCTTACCCTGTGGATTCTCAGGTACGCTCTTGTACAAATACAGAGAATAGTGCCACTCCAAACATCTGGGGGCTATTTATAGACTGGTCTCCGCTTCAGGATCCTGTTTACAAGCCAGCCCTGGGAAATTACCACTAATGCACAGTTCCTGTGTTACATTACTGAAATTAAAACCTCAACAAACATGCTTAAGATGACGAGCACATTTCCCCGAACCCTGTTCTGCGTAATTGCACTGATTAAGAGAGTGACACGTGTGGAAAGATCTTTTCCATTTCAAAAAGACTGCCTGTAAAAGCTGATGAAGCGTCACACTCCTACTGTATGTTTGACCACCATTGGAGAATTATCTTTGTGCAACTCATTAATGACTGCAATGTTCACAGTCTCTGAAGGAGAAAAGTGCCAGAAATATTTTGCTCAATTCTTCCAGGGCATTACACCCAAAACATGAGCAGGGTATGGCAAGGCATTAGCGACTGATAAGGGAGACAAAATGCACCAAAAGTGAAAATGTAGATGACTTACTGTAACTTCCATTTCTCCATGCTGTTTTATAGAACAAATAGCTATCTTACAACTCCACAAACCAGAGGCAAATCAGATTTGAAACAGTAATTCACTGATGCTAGGTGAATCCCATCGTGATTATTCAGCTAAATGAATTCCCTACAGGAAACCACGTAGAAAATACGATGTGGTAAACGTGTTTTGAGTTTGCATACAATCATTTATTCTGTAGAGGGCCTGCTCACAATTCATTGTACAGAGGGTCTGAAGACAATTACAGAATGTGCGCTCTGCACTGCTGTTGTGTTTGAAATGAAATCAGCGAGCAGGGACAGTTCATGAGGATGGAACCAGATGTGTGCACCTGTGAAATCTATAGCATTAGAAGACTCAGTGCTTCAGTGGGGTGGGAACCCAGCTACTTGAAATGTTTGGCTTCCATTTAGGGCTCTGCTAGAGATGATCAGGAAGGTAGGGTTACAGTTCAGGATACATCTAGGGGGCAGGAGGGTTTGTTTGGATCAGTTTGGCTTCTTCGGGAGTGGGAGAGACTCCCGGAGGGTTTCAAGGCAGATAAAGTGAGGCTGTGCTCCATGAAGCCGACGATCACTGCAAGCCTGGCCGAGTGCATTTGAAAACCAGTGTCCTGTGTTTGTACGCCAGGCGATGAGGAGGAGGTGCCGGACGCTGGGGACCCCTGGAAACAGAAGGAATCGTTCCTGGGGGGCAGCACTATTTCTCTGGCTGTGGGGGAGAGATTCTCCTCAGGTACTGTTCCACGTCTCCTTCAGCCAAGTAGCTCTTGCCCAGCCAGACCAATTCTACCTTGATTATTACACTGCATCGATTATAACCTGCTGATTATTCGTGCATTTATTTCTTCATTGCTTAAAACACTCTTGGGTGCATTAGGAGCCTGGAAAACAAGTTAATGACCCTTGCTGCACATTACTGCACATTCTGCAGTAATCCAGATGCTTCCGTTATTACCATCTCCTTCTCCAGTGCTTTAATTACAAGTCTGTGTCATGAATGCAGTATCGGCTTAAGGCCCAGTGCCATCAGACCCTGCTGTCCGTCTGCCTTGTGCGGTAAGGTCAGTGCCTGCGTGTCCCGTGTCTCCCCTGCGCAGAGGTGCTGCTGGTCTTCAGCGTGCGACGGCGATCCAGCGCGCTGCCCGACAACGCCCTGCAGGAGGCAGTGCGCACGCGGCTCAGGGTGGTGGAGAGCAACAGCCAGGATGTCACCCAGCTCTTCAAGGTCGGTACCGCGGAGCAGGGAACCAGCAGCTGGGGCCGAGGGGAGTGGGGCCCGAGTCCAGTGGGGGGCTTATTACAGGCTTGTAGGTGACTTACTGCCATTTCCATTTTCACTGATGCTAAAGTGCCTGAACGAGCCAGTGATATGCAGCGTGGCTGAAGCGAGCACACTATACGATCCGCAACAAGGCCACCATTCATACAAAAAAGCAGAAGAACTTACTGTACTTCGTCGTGCGTGTGATTTTCCTCCTCACGTTTCATAGTGAAAGGAATTCCACTGAAAAAAAACAGGAATGCATCTTTATATGTTACCACGCAGATGTATGCTTACGGATGATCGATGTAGGCAAGTGCTCGGAAAATACAGTGCACTGGAATCTTACACTTGATCATTTATGCACTTGCATCTTGGTGCGCCATGGGCTTTGAAAACAAGTGGACGACCCTTGAACCTTAAAGCATTGCTAACCCTGATCTCTGTGCAGGACCTGTCTGCCCGGCTCGTGTCTGTGCACGCGGAGACGGATAGCTTTGTCATCACCTTTAAGACAGTGGAAGAAATCTGGAAGTTCTCCACCTACCTGTCTCTAGGTACGAAGGGGCGGGAGCTGTGGGGGGTCATGAGTGAGGGTTTGCAACTGCTTGGAAGTGGGTGGAGGGTGGACTGTGTGAAGGCGGATGCGTTCTGCGCTGTAAGGCTGGATATCACTCAGGGGCAGCTTGTGGATGTTTCACAGTAAAAGGTTTTAGAGCTGCACTCTGCAGAAATGAAATGTGGCCCCACGCTTTGGGGAATATGAATAATGTGTTCCAATGAAGGCACCTTAGCATAAGTTCATCTTGAGAGAATGGGATCTGTTGTTCTTCCTGGGATGTGCCAAATGCTATAGGTAAAATTCTGGATTTAGATTATTGTTCGGTTTAGGATTTAGATCTGAAAAATAAACCAAATCCTTTTTTTTTTTAATTATATAATGTTAGCATGCCCAAAGGGGTTGGGCAGCCAGTTGACCTTGGACCCCTAGAGGGTTTTTTTCTCCTTACTAAGGAGTTTTTGGTTTCTCTCCTCCCTTTTCTTCTGGTCTTCTGTTCTGTATTCACAACATGTATGGTTACTTGCATTGTAAAGCGCCTTGGGGCAACTTAGTTGTGATGGGGGCTATATAAAAATACATTGAATTGAATTTAAACCCAATATACAGCATATTAGGCCCAGTGTTGACAGAATGGTGGCCTCTGTAGTGCCGTGTTGCGTCGCTTTTAAGGAGACCTCGGGTTCGATGTTCTCAGGCTATGTGGCGCGGTGCTTGGAGAACTTCCTCTGTGACCAGACCTTCTGGCTGGACTTGGCGCTGCTCCGCGAGGTTGAAATCTGCCTGAGCGTGGACGAAGACCACCTGGCCACCATGTACCTGGGGCTGCTCCTGGAGGAAGGCAAGACCCTCGTTCACGCTATCCTGCCTGTTCACCGAAGCCCTGATCCCTGGGCGGGACCAGACATTAGCTTGTACTGAATACACTTACGCTGAGCCCTGACCCTAACACTGGCTAACATTCTCTCAATCCCAGCGCCCTGACCTTCACCACACTGACAGCGTGGGCTGTTTACAGTATGTAGATCTCGGGAGCAATGCAGTAGTGATGGTAATTTCCTAATAACGATTCTAATTTATGAGCACATTATGTCTGTGGCAGCAAGAAACTCGGGGCCTAAACTGAATGATGTAATATGAATTTATTTGCAGAGATAGTGTAATTCAATAAAAGCAGTTACTGACACGGTCCTGATTCTGAAGGACAAGGAAAAGAATAAGGGCAGGATGGATCCTGACGGAATTTTTTAACCCCTGCATGGACAAGGCGTATTTCACAGCCTCACAGCCTAGAGACGTTCCTTGTCGTGAGATTTGCGGGAGGCCCTTTTGCGATAAATCTGGTGTGTTCTAGATTGAAGGGCAGCAGCCCTGCCCCCCTCTTGATGAGACAGACATGGTGTTTGCTCGCAGGCTCTCAAGGAGCTGCATTGTACTGCCGTGACCTCTTCCTTCCACGAAGCAACACTTGGCAGATCAGCAGGAATTCTGGAATCCTGTGATCCTGCATTTTCCACATATTTATTCAGAAGCGTCTCTTGCCTTTGGATCCTTGCAAGTATCCTCAATGTCTTGATGCCGTTTGAGGTCTGATAAAGCCGGCGAGCTGTTTGCTTTTGCAGGAAGCCTGCCAGCCTCTGTATTAAAGAGGAAGCTGCATTCTGGCTCAGGATCGCTGATAGCATACCCGTTTTAAAGGAGGAGGCTGGTGTACTGTCTCGGCAGGGCTGGGAGAAAGGGCTGGGAGAGCTTGACCTCACTCAGAGGACAGGGTCCAGGGAACCAAGAGGCCCTGTTTCAGCCGAGCTCCCTCTCTGTTTTGTCCGCGCGCAGGGTCGTTCTTTGCCAAGGCTCTGTTCAACAGCAAACACGGCGAGGAGGACGAGCACCTGCCCTACAGGAGGAACGACTTGGTGATGGTGAGGGACGTGGGGCAGGACTCGGAGTGGGAGGGCACCCTGCTGTCCACAGGCCAGCACGGCTTGGTGCCTGTCCACGCCATGCAGCCTCTTCCTTATCCTTTCTATCAGTGAGTGCAATTCCTCTTTCCCAAACCTCCGTCCATCCTTCTTCTCGATGGTTTATCCAGTAAGGGGTCACCAGGGGGCCAGAGCCAATCCCAGCAAGCAAAGGGCACAAGGCAGGATATACAGTACCCTGGACAGGATGTCAGACCATCACATGACACACACACAGACACACACACACACACACACACCAGGGCCAGTGTTTCCCAGAAGCCGATCAACCTACCAGCAAGTCTTAGGACTGTAGGTGGAAATGTGCACAAACAGGAGGATAACATGCAAACTCCACACAGATAGCGCCTCAGGTCTGGAATTGACCCCACAGCTGGGACATCAGAGAGGCGCACGCCACTCCTACGATCGGTCCAAACGCTCGTGACTCCTCTGAAGAGCTCCCAGTGGGAAAGTTCAGGGGGAGAGTCGGAGGATGTTCCGGTCTGTAACTCCTCTCTCCCCCAGTGTGGTACAGGCCTCACTGATGTGAGCCACAGGGTGACGAAACAATTGACAATTGATTCCATGTTGGGTGGGTACGTAATGATAATAGAAAACATTGAGATTCTAAATTGTTTTTAAAAACTCCACCTTCTGAATATTCTGCACTTCCTTGACATCAGTATTGCGTTTCTCATGTTTAATTAATGTTACTGCATTATGGAATAAACTTAAATACATAAGAACAGTTACAAACGAGAGGAGGCCTTTCAGCCTATTGAGCCCGTTTGGTAATTAGTAGCTAATTGATCCCAGGATCTCACTCAGCTGTTTGTTGACATAAACCAGGGTGTCAGTTTCAACAACAGAGCTGGGCAGCTTGTTCCACACCCCTACCACTCTTTGTGTAAAGATGTGCCTCCTGTTCTGACTGGAGGATCTTATCCATGCGTTTCCTGAAGGAATCCAGGCTATTGACTTCAACAGCATGGCTGAGCTTGTTCCAAACTCCCACTACCCTCAACACCACACCCCCTCTACCCTGACTGGGATTGAAACTAGGACCATGTCAGTGAGAGCCTTGAATCCTAACCTCTAGATCACCAGCTAATCCCCCAGTACCCACTGGGACCTTTTTGTAATGTGACAATGAACTTAATTGAAGCATTAATTTACATATTTCTTGCTCACAGGTGGTTCCTCCGGAAGCACCCAGGAAGTGCTGGAGGTCCTCCAGCCACTAAACACGTGTTTGACCTTCCTTTAGGTAAGAACATAAGACAGGTCACAGGCAGGAGGAGCCCTTATTGAGAACATAAAACCGACAAGAGGAGGCCATGCAGCAAGTTGGATAGTTAGTATTTAATTGAGCTGAAGATCTCATCCAGCTGTTTCTTAAATGAAACCACAGGATCAGTTTCAACAACATGTCCGGGAAGCTTGTTCCACACTCCCACCACCTGTTGTGTAAAGAAGCTGTTTCATCCCCAGAACAACCTCACCGTTGGTGTGCATCAAAATGAGTCTGAGTATACTGTACTGTATAGAGTGACAGGGGTCAGGATTACAATTGTGACTAGGGTTAGTGTTATGGCTAGGCAGAGTATCTTTAAACATACCCGAGTGCACGGTAGTGGCATCAGTACTAATAACAGCCCCCACTGCAGTTCCTTTTTTTAATAAGAGTTTTATGTGAAATATTGCAACACAAAAGCTACATACGATTTTTCCCACTTGCAGGAAGAGGGAAATACATGGTTAAAATCACATAAACAAATACACAAAATGTGCAGTTCCTACTGTACTGAAGGATGACTATGTCTTATAAAGGTTTAGTGTGCCGTACAGTACCTTTTGCAAAAGCAGAGTAAGGCTCAGTATATCACCGTTAACTTATGGTAGAAGCTGACAGTAGGAAACCGAGAAAAAGCCACATGAATGAACAAGGTGTAACTGGAGAAAGTAAACTTCCTAAAGGTGCAGTAAAGGTCTAATTTCTGCCCCTCCTTTTTCCTGTGCTGCACCCTTGACAGGAACAGGCACGTGTGTCGCTGTGGTGGACCACAGCCCCTCCTGTATGGACGAGCTGGCCTTCGGCAAGGGAGACCTGATCGAGGTCGTGGGATTCCTGCTGTCCAGCCTGGAGTGGTTTATAGGATGTCACTTCGTCAGCGGCTGCTCTGGGCTCGTCCGGAAGTCCCACGTGGAGCCAGAGGGCCTCAGACCACTGTAAGAGCTCACGGACGAACGTGTGGGCGCTGGGCGCGCTCCTCCAAACTGAAACAGAGTCGCCAGCTAACCCGTTCTAATCTGCTATGTGTTGTTTCTCTTTTCAACTATGTCAGGCAGTGATAGTGATGAAAGTCAGGCAACAGCTTTTAGGAGCTGCACTTACTGTAAGCAAATCCAGCAGCCCTAAACCATGTGTTCTCCATATAGCATCTATTTCTAGAGCTTGCCTGGGTTGTCAGCTGAATACTGTTGTAGCTGCCTGTGTACAGTATAAGCACATCTTTTACAGTGACCTTCGTTTACAGAGTTGCTATCGTTAAAGGAAGCAACAACATCCAGTTACCTGTTTTCCTGATAATCTTTTGCTTTTGTTATTTGTCCCCCTGGGGGCTGAGGGGATTTTTCATGCTGAAAACGCTGAAATGAAACTCACTGTGGCGACAATGTGGGCTTTGTTCTCGTTTTAGGGACAGACAATTGGTCTTTCTGAGTGAAGAGGAGAGAGCCTGGCTTTGTCGGTTTAACCCCTGCAGCGAGCAGTGCTACGCTCCTCTCCTGAGCACGTTCTTCCCCAGCGACATCAGCACGATCTACAGGCTAGGTAAGGCCTGTACACCGTGGATTTAAAATCACCTTTCCTTCCCCTTCATGATAAGGCATGACTTCATAGTTCTCTGTATAACGCGACGTGTGTTGATGTACAACATTGCAACATGGTAATTGTTCTGTACAATCATTTCACAAGCAGAGTTTGGCAACATAATAATTGCATAAAATATTTTTCAATTGATCAACTCATTGTTCCTTTCAGTCTCAATGGTTATATTTACAATCGGTGCATTTTAATTCTTTGTTTTTAATTCCGCAGATAGACTGGACAATTCAGACATTCCATATATTATAAACCAGCCCAAACAAGGTAATTAAAAACAAATGTAAACATCTGTCTTATTTTATAGGTTCTGAACATTTGGTGGAATATGTTGGAGTGTTTAACAGGGTACATCACAATTTCTTAGAAAGAAATTTCAGATTTGAAATGTGTCCGGCGTCAGGGTGATAAAGCAGGATGCAATAGGATATAATGGGTGGAACAGGCTCAGGTGCTGTTAAACTGTTTGACCTTGATTCGGAACAGACTGTGAATGACCTTTTCATGACATGTCCCGTTTCAGAGAACAGAGGGGCGAACAGTATCCGGACGAGCTCTGTTTCAGAGAAGAGTGAATCTCCCCTTTGTCATTCTTCACCCAGACAGTCCTTCTGCACTGCGAGAAGCAGCCCGGAAAAGGGGGACGAACCGCTGTCCTTCGGCCTCGACGACACCTTCAAGGAGATGGCCGAGCTGGAGGACGACCCCAGGTTTTTCGGCGACGAAAACAGCTGGGATGAGGAAGAAGAGGAGGCCGTGGACCCCGTCACCGTCCTGCTGAACGAGGACCGCTTTGAAGAGCGCTTCCGCGAGCTGTACGACCTCTCCTTGGTCCCCCTGAGCACCATGTTCGGGGCCGGCTCGGCGGACGAGCTCCTGCAGCACCTGGAGGCCATGCGGGATGAAGCCAAGAGGCATAGGATGCCCTGGGCACACAGGAGAGTGTGCTTCCTCCTGGGCAGGATGTGTGCCAAAAAGCAGAAGTACTCCCAAGCGAGGGTTTACTTTGAGGAGTCTCTGGGGGTCCTCGTCTGTGGGTTTGCCGACCCCCTGCTGCTAATAGCCCTGTACACGAACCTCACGGCCATCTACCTGAAGCAGAGGCTGTCGGCCAAGCTGCACCTCACCCTGGAGAAGGCCGCCGCCCTGCTCCTCTGCCTGCCCCAGCACGCCTTCTGCTCCGCGGACGAGATCGAAGTCCTCAAGCTCGTCTTTCGCAAGGCCATCATGGCCAACGACAAGCACCTGGAGGCCCGGACCTGCTACCTCATTGTCAGCCTCTTCCTGAGGCTCGGGAAGACCGAGGAGGCCCTGCCCTTCGTCGAGCGGCTGCAGTTCCTCACCATCGCCCTCTCAGCCGAGGCCGCTGATCCGGGTCGGCCCGGGTCGGGCCCGGCTCCGGGTCCCATGGCGCCCGTGGATCTCAACTGGATGCTGAGCCGACTCTACCACAAGAAGTACCTACCCTATCTGTCCCTGGCGGCCCTGAGCCTGGATTCGGATCAAGGCCGGTCGCTGCAGGACGCGTTCCACAAGATCGATCTCTTCGTCAAGAGCTCGGCGAGGCAGGGCGGCCAGCGGCAAGGAGGCGGCGCGGTCCTTCCCGCGCAGATCGTCATTTACCTCCGGCAGGCCCTGGCCATCGCCAGCCGGGGGCGGGACGTGAGGACTCAGAGGGACTTGTGCCTGAGCCTGGCGCGGGTGTATCAGCAGCACGGGGCCCTGGCCGGGGCGGCGGACTGCGCCAGGAGGGCCGTGGAGGCCGGCCGGCAGATGAACGAGGAGGAGGCCTTTGAGGCCACCGTGCTGCTGGGCTGGCTGCTGGCTCTCACCGAGGAGCCGGGGCGCGCCGCGGGCACGCTGCGGCCCGTCCTGCGATCGCTGCACGAGACCGACAGCCCCACCCAGCGGGGGGTGGTGCACACCCTCCTGGCCCTGTGCTGCAGGAAGCAGCGGCGGGTCCAGGACGCCGCCTGGCACTTCCACTCCGCTCTGAAGATCTCGCGGGAGAGTGGCAGCCGGCGCAACGAGGCGCTGGCGCTGGCCAACCTCGGGTGCCTGGCTCTGTCGGCGGGGGCCCCCCTGCTGGCCGAACGGTTCCTCTGCGGGGCCCTCCGGCTCTTCTCCCAGCTCCTGGAGAGCCCGGCGGATGCCGAGCACGTGCAGGCCTACCTCTGGCTGGGCCGAAGCTACGCCGACCGGCAGCGGACTCAGGACGTCAGGCTGTGCTACGAGACCGCGCTGCTCGTCGCCATCAGGGCCAAGAACCTGCACAGTGAGTACACTTCTGTCCAGCAGCCATATCACCCTGCAACTCACAACTGGTAACCCACTGAAGCTCAGCAGGTGGGAGCCTGCTCAGTACCTGGATGGGAGACCTCCTGGGAAAAACTAAGGTTGCAGCTGGAAGAGATGTTAGTGGGGCCAGCAGGGGGTGCTCACCCTGCGGTCCATGTGGGTCCTAATGCCCCAGTATAGTGACGGGGACACTATACTGTAAAACAGGCGCTGTCCTTCGGATGAGACGTAAAACCGAGGTCCTGACTCTCTGTGGTCATTAAAAATCCCAGGGTGCTTCTCGAAAAGAGTAGGGGTGTAACCCCGGTGTCCTGGCCAAATTTCCCATTGGCCCTTACCAATCTTGGCCTCCTAATAATCCCCTTCTATGAATTGGCTACATTACTCTGCTCTCCTCCCCACTGATAGCTGATGTGTGGTGAGCGTTCTGGCGCACTATGGCTGCCATCGCATCATCCAGGTGGATGCTGTACATTGGTGGTGGTGGAGGGGAGTCCCCATTACCTGTAAAGCGCTTTGAGTGGAGTGTCCAGAAAAGCGCTATATAAGTGTAAGGAATTATTTTTATTTTTATTACACCACCTGCAGCGATAACAGTAGGGCAGCGCCGAAGGTGCAGGCAACACTGGGTAGAGTACAGAAGGTCTCATCTAACATTTTGCAGCCCTTAGGCTTTAGCATGCCTTTGCTGGAAGCAAGCACAGCATTTTCAGGAACACCTGAAACCTATGAGGAGCTTTATGTTAGTGCTGATTCTGGTTATAGACGCTACGAAATTTCTGTAACAACACATAAAGGCAGTGAAAATAGCCCTGGCGTTTGTGCTGTAATGTTGTGTTATCCAGAAGATTTCTCATTTTTGGTTTGTTTTTTTCCCATAGGCCAATTAGTCGTGGCTAAACTACTGTGCCATTTGTATGCAAAAATGCTGTTCTATGGGCAGTGTATAATCTACTATGAGTACTGTGTGTCTCTGTCCCGGGAGCTGAAGGATAAGAGGCTGGAAGGAGAGTTTCTGGAGACCCTCAGTGAGCTCTACTTGTCCCTGAACACGGAGAAGTAAGTTCAGCTTCTTTTGGACAACTGCTTTATCTGCTTTGGGCTTTCAAAACCAAACAGTCGATGCTGAACAGTAGGCACCTACGAGGAACATGAGCTCACAAGTTAAAGGAAAAGGGTCAGGTTACAGGTTTCGCATTAGAAAACCACACCATGCTTGATTTCAGAAGCATAATTCTTGCAAATGAGAGCAAACAAGTGCAGTCTGAGGGTGTGTTCATTTCCATCTAACCCTGGAGAACAGTTTGGTATCGTGCTTGTAGTGTAGGAGAAGAGAGTAAATGGCTAAAACCAAGTTCTGTGCTAATATGTGGCCAAGAGATCCACTGCAGTGGCTGTCCTGAGTCCTGCATTGGTGTTTAACTCCAGATATGCAGAAGAACCAGCTCCTGCAGACTGGACAGGTGCAAGTAAGATACTTACAGCAATCGGATGTCAGAATGTTTTTCTAATACTGTGTTTCTTCCCCACAATAATATTTTCTACTGCGATGCTATTGCTTTCACTTAGTGTATTTCCTCTTAATGAAGAAGCACAAGTCTGTGATGGTCTTCAACAGACGTTTTAGCCATTTAGCTGCAAGGTCACAGTTAGGTCTGCCTGATTCATGTTTTGTGGTACATCAACCCATTTAGCTTGATGAATGATAACAATAAGGAACACTCAAATGCAAATGAAGCAGCTTTATCACTCTGCAACTCACCCTGGCAGCCCACTGAAACTAACCGGGTGTGAGCCTGACCAGTACCTGGATGGGAGACCTCCTAGGAAAGCTAAGGTTGCTGCTGGAAGAGGTGTTAGTAGGGCCAGTAGGGGGCGCTCAACATGCGGTTTGTGTGGGTCCTAATGCCCCAGTATAGTGTAAACGGTAAAAAGGCGCTGTCCTCTGGATATGACATAAAACCAAGGTCCTGACTCTATTTCTAATGTGGTCATTAAAAATCCCAGGGTGTTTCTTGAAAAGAGCTGGGGTGTTACCCAGCATCCTGGCCAAATTTTCCCCTGGCCTTTACCAGCCATGGCCTCCTCATAATCCCCATCTCTGAACTGGCTTCATCACTTTGTTCTCCTCCCCACTGAGAGCTGGTGTGTGGTGAGAGTACTGGTGCACTATGGCTGCCATCACATCATCTAGTTTGGGGCTACACACTGGTGGTGGTGGAGGGGATCCCCATTACCTGTAAAGAGCTTTGATTGGAGTGTCCAGAAAAGCAGTAATTTTTTATATAAGTGTAAGGCACTATTATTATTATTGAATTAATTAATTAGTTAAATAGGTATGGATGAGCCACCTCAACACTTGATATTGGCTGCTTATTGACCTCTTGGTGAGTTCTGCTTATTGTGTCTCTGACTGCCAGGGCGTTTTGCACAGCCAGGTTATGTGTTACCAAATACAGAATGACATTTTAGTGTGTCATGCTTGTAGGTCTTCAAGGAAGTCCTTGGACTACACCAAGCAGAGCCTGAGAATATCCATTGACCTGGGGAAGAAGGAGGAGGAGTCAGAGACCTGGCTTCAAGTCGGGAGAATCTACTACCTTATCCAGGAGGACGAGCTGGCAGAGATGTACCTCCAGGTACAAGGTTGTGGCTGTGTGTGCAGGCTGCACCATTTATCCAGAATGATTAATCCACCATTAATCTGCTGCACTGCAGTATCAATGTCTGCACTGAAACAGTCCACATTTACATTCGACAGCCATCTGTAGAATAAACCCTGTGTGAAAGATTCAGTCCACAGGTTTCTGATATTTTCTTTCTCTACATTTGATTTTATAATTTAGCACTGGTATTGATGCATGGCTTAGTAGAAGCTAGAAAACCCATAAACATTATTAGCTTCGTACAAACTTTGACAGGCTGATGGGTGTATGGCTGTGCATTCTTAAATAGTTTGAAAATTGTATTTCTCGATTTGTAGCTCTCAGCCAGAACCCATCCTGTAAGCTTAAAAAGAATCAGAGTGTAGCAGTAATTCAGCCATCTGAATCAATTCCACTGTCTAGCTTTAGGAAAAGGCCAGCACTTGGAAGACAGACAGAAGTCACATGAAATCTGAAGTGCACTTGCATAGATAAGGGAGGAAGCTCTCTGGGTGCCCGCTGGAGTACTGCCTGATTATAGCTCTGACTATTGTCTCTCAGCTTTCACACACTTGGCATTCAGACACACACACACACTGCTGCTGTTGCATATGGAATTCCTTTTGTTATCCTGAGACTGTGTCCTTTAAACTCGTGTTCCTCTCCTTATCTCTAATACAGGCTGCCGTAAAAACAGCTCTGAGAGTGAATGATTCCTGTTTCGCAATGAATATATACGAGGAGGCCGGAGACGTGTTTTTCAAAGGCCAAAGAAATCGAAGTGCAGCACTGCCATTTTACAGGGTAGGCAGTGTGATCTACTGGTAATGCCTGCCTACTCAAAACGAAGGGCAAGAAAAGAAGTACTGAAGGCTTTATATGCTTTCATTACTGACACCAGTGGAATGCTTAAAACAACAATGATGTTTTTTTGTATTCGTTTGTATCCGGTGTGCTGTCAATTCCTAATGTGTACAATTCTGTGCGCAGGATGGGGCTCTTCCTCTTGCAAGAAGTTTTGGAGATATCTCCTCAGAGGCGCGCCTGCTTAATAAACTCACTGAGCTGCTAATGAATTTGAAGCAGTACGAGGAAGCATTGCAGTACGCCACCCTAGCCGTGCAAGTCAGCACAATGACAGGTATGCATGGTGTGAACATTGCATGATAGTGCCTAGCAGCACTTTGTAACAGAGTGATGCACAAAACAAATGCAACACTCAGGTCTAATGCATCTCATCAAATCTAGATCTTATACCAAATTATAGAAAATGTCAGAGATTCATGATGAGTTTTCAGTATTCACGTAGACACACTGTCATATTGAAATCTTTAGTCAGCATTGCTATAACTTCCTTGAGCACTAACACAATCTTGACAGTGTTGACACACAGATCTAATAAGTCTCTTGACAGATCGCTTTGGGTTGTTTCAGTACATTTTTTGCTGTGCAGCTGCAGTCAGCATTGGCGAGCTAGTACCACAGGTGATCTCTTGGACTCCGGTGAGACAGGAAAGCTGGCCAGAGCAAGACCACTTGGGTGTTTTCTTGAAATCATGCCATTGTAATCCCAGCACTGTGTGGTCTTGCATTGTCCTGCTGGAATATCAATACCTCAGGTCTTGTCTTGCAGGAACTGTGAAACTGTTCATTCAAAGACTCTGTCAGTGTATCAGTGAGTCGTTCTTGTGCTAAAGGAAATTCCTCCTGACTTCATCACACATCTGCTTCTCACCAACTGGTTAGCATGAATAACAGCACAGACAGCATAGCACCATTTTTATATCCACATACATTGTATTCCTTCAGATCTGCAAGGGCACAGCAAATTCATTGGGGAATAAAATCACTCTCCTAGCCACAATCACGGTTGTTCTCTGGCTGACAAAAGATTTTAATTTCATCCCTAGGCTGCATTATCACCGAACGACCTCCAATTATGTCACTTGCTTGGGAGCTAAGGTTGTTTTGCTGATGTACAGGTTATTTTTCTTTGGAATGTCTAATGCTGTAATTACTGCAGACTGAGAATGATTATGCAGTTAGGCAGATCAGGCACATGTGATGGTCCCTAGCTGATGTACTGACAGCTCCACAGGACATGGCTCTGCCCGCACAGACCCCTTTTCTTTTTCTGAGCTAGTCTGCTGGTGGTCAGTGCAGAGCACCTCATTCTTCAGACAACTTCTCTCACCGATGTGTGGCCTGTAATCACACTGATAGCCACTATAGCATCCTCATCACTCAAGTTGGGCATGGTCCTGTCTTTCTTCATTCTTGCATTAAATACATGTCTTTTTAGACAGATTCCTAATGAACTTTTGGACATTTTGACAATTTTAACTCAACTTCCAAACACTGAGCACTTGACATTTCTTTGAAATTACATGACTTTAGTTAAATATTTCAATACCCCAAGGAGCAATACTCAATCAATACTCAATACTCAATCAACTAACTTAGCTACTTACTAATAATGTATGTACACAACATGTTTTGAAGTAAAACATGGAATGTTACATTTTCATTGTGCACCAGTATGTGAATTCAGTGTTAGGTATTGGTCTATAATACATTGTTTTGTAATCAGAATTCAGTAATGATATCGGTCAGTATTGTGACTATTACAGGTGGGTGCTGTACTTCAGTGAAGTACGGATGAAGGGGGTGCCCTTCTAGGTACAAAGTGCTTTGAGATGAAAAACTGTTTCACTGTTTCACTGTTTCACTGTTTCACTGTTTCACTGTTTCACTGTTTCACTGTTTCACTGTTTCACTGTTTCACTGTTTCACTGTTTATTAATTACTATCTAAGGAAATGCAAGTAAAATGCATAAAGCAAGGAACCTGGTGAAAAGTCTCCAAATTTGTTTTGTTTTCCAGGAGACCGCCTGAAAGAGAGAGCAGCCTTCCACCGCCTGGCGACGGTGTACTACTCTCTGCAGCAGTATGAGATGGCCGAGAACTATTACCTAAAGGCTGTGTCTCTGAGCCCTCATGTCTTGCACTCGCCCCTGGAGGCCAGATACTTTGTCAAAGCCTACTGCCGACTGGGAGACCTGACTCTGCACAGGCTAAAAGTAAGAGCCCTGAGATTCCTTTCAGGGCCTTTTGGGTTCATTAATAGTGGCCAATGTCCCTGTTGGACAATGATTGTGTGTTGTTGTATTTAGGATTTTTTTTTATTTTATTGATAATGCTTAAAACAACAGAAGATCAAGAACTGACTCACTGGTGACACATGCCTTTAGTTAGCTGCCAGCTGAGCAGCTTCACATTAACTGTAGCTCAATGCAGTAGAACAGTACTTTAGTGCTCAATGTGATTCGGCTGCCTAATCCCTCTATTGCTGTGGCTACAGGTAAGAAATTATACTAATGTGCCTGAAAGGGAATGAGCTTTCAGATTTAATATATTGCTGGCGTATCTTTAAGGATGTTCAGGAATGGGTAGAGGCAGCTGCGCAGTACCTATAGGTTAACTTTACCCATCTTTTTTAACATGAAGAGGCCAGTATCTGAAGCCTAGATTTGCCAGATAGCTTAATTTACTACAGTCCAGCGAAACACAGCAGCTATTTATAAGGCCGGATTAAGTGGTTTGATGCACCAAGGTGTTTTGGCGTTTGTTTTTTGGTTTCTGGAGAAAAACTACAAAGAGCCCAGGCAGATGAACGATGACGAGAATAGGGACGTGTGGGGAGGCAGAGTTGGCAAAGCTGTTTCATGAACTCTCGCGGTGCTCGTCTTTGTGCCCTCTCTGAGCACACAATCAGGGCAGCACAGAGCAAGCTTTCAGAACCTGCAGCCGAACCTGCTGTGCCCTTGAGTGAGGCACTTTACACCCAGTTGCTCCAGTCCTCCCAGCTGTAGAAATGGAGACCAGAATTGAGGGGTGTAACCCTGTGATGGAAAGTGTCCGATCCAGTGGGGAGCCACATACTCCTAGTTGTCTTAACACTATGAAGCCCAGGAAAAGCCTGGGCCCGATGAGCCTTTAAGCTCAGGGATGGCCTCTTTCTTTGCTTGGCACACTCTGTTCCTCATGGCAGAGAGGCTGGATCTGCAGGCATACACTGTTAGTAAGGCTGTAACCCTCATAGTGGTGACCAGGTCCCCTGATCCAGGCACAAGCAGTCTCAGACCCAGTCGTCTTCAATAAAGGACAGGAGAGCTCGTGTGCTTTACTGGGGGGAGGCTCTGGTCTGGAAAAGACTCCGTTTCTGTCCTTTGTGGCTGATCCGCGTGGCGCTGCTGTCTTTCAGGACGCTTTCGACGCCATGGGCTACTTCCACCTGGCCCTGGCCGCGGCCCTGGAGGATGGGGGGGACCCCGAGGGCCTGTACGTCGTGTACATGAAGCTGGCGGAGATACACTCCAGCCACATGGCTGACGAGGAGCTCTGCCAGCACTACAGGAGCTGTGCTCAGGCGCTCAGGAAGGAACTGGCTGGAGACACGGACCCTGTTCCATAGCCAGAGAGACCAGGAAAAGGAATTCCGGCGGTTTCAAAAGGACACAGACACACACTGCTCCTTCTCCTCTAACACTCGGGAGCTACGCTGTAGGCCTCTCCAGCTTTGACCTGGGGGAAGACAAACAGCGTTTGAAGCCGGGTGCAGTTTTGTGCTGTAAATATGCAATGCTGATTTAGACTTTAATTAATGCGGACAGCATGACCGGTGTTATGTATTTTCAACAGAACCCTAGATTTTCCCTTGACTCTCTTACCAGATTAGAGCTGTCGAAATGTTCAAGAAAACCCTTCAGTTTCATTCAACCTTTTCGTTAGAGTTGCAGCCAAATGTGCTGTAAGTGATGCTTTTACTCTCGTCTGCTTCTTTCACTGTGACAGGAGGCTCTGAAGCAGGAGAAGTGACATTAAAGGCAGCAGCTGGCCCAGAGGAATCGTGTTAAAAACTGCTGTACATTTCTAATCTGTTTCTGTGTAAATATGCACATCTTAAAAAACGATATGTACTAAGGCAAATATTTAACTATAGGTAATGAAACGATCTGTACAGAATTTGTAAAATAAGGTTAATATAGAATGGAAAACACTGGAAAACTATTGTTAGTTTTGCACTAAATGTTTTTGCTTGTATAAATACTATTTAATGGGGGAGTTTGAGGATTGCCTTGTAAGAGAAGACCTCTGTTGTTTTCCATTTTGAATGTTACCTTTTACCTGTGAAAAGATTCAAAGTCCAGGAATTTCTTAAATTAGTTTCTTTAATGCATTTTCTATTGACAATAAACGATTCTTGTCTTTTATCTATGGTTTTGATTAAACAATGGGTTGGCTGTCAGGTAACACCTGTGTTTCACTGAACATACCAACAGTAGTTGTAAAGCTGAAGAGTTTGAGGACAACCAGGAATAAGAGCACTTTAAAAAAAAACACCAGGGACACACAACACATTAAAAAGGGAAGAAATGGAGAAAAAAGGGAAAAATCAGAGAAGCGAAAGGAGATCAAACTCTCAAAGTAGATATGACAGAATAGATTTCTCGATAGCCGATAGCTTACAAAATTTCAATTTTTGCCCGGACTGTCTTAATATCTTAGCTGGATCAGTCTTGCGGTATTGTGTAAGTCATTCACACTCATGTTTGTGTTATATGTGAAGCAGTTTGATTATCCAGGTGGTCAGGTGGCAAAACTTAATCTCAAAAAGGATATATAAATAAATATGCATTGTTTTCAATGTTGTGCATTGTTTGACAAAACTTGACTTAAATTTATCTAGCTCATGGCAAATTGATCAAAGTTGGTATTTGTTTCCACCTAGTGGATATCAGGTGTAATTGCATCTGATACTTAAATATTTTGCTTTTAAAACATGGGCTATTGTTAATGTTATGTCTTAACATAACTACATTACATAAAGAACACCACAAGGATAACACAACTACAACAATAGTGGATAAAATCTACTTGCTTTTTCACATAATAGGATCATTTACAAAACCTACTATCTGTTTGTACTACAGTGATAAAGTCTGTTAGCGTTATGTCTTCTTAGAGGCAGTTAGATTATTGTAATGGAAGTTATGACTTTCTTTTTCCTTGGCTTGCAAGCACTGAAAATGACCCCTAAAAACAAATTTACTGTACTTGCTTTGAAAATACCCGATACTCAGTTTCTAGGGGGGAAAGGGTAGTCTTGTCAATGGGAAAAGTTTAATTTTGTTTTAGTCCATTTCATACAGTTGATTTGCCAGGATCACACAATATTTTGTTAATGTTACTTATGTGGGTGGCTTGGTGGCGTAGTAGTTAGCATTGCTGCTTTGCAGCTTCGGGCCCTGGGTTCAATTCTGGAGCTGGAGTGCTGTCTGTGTGGAGTTTGTATAATAATAATAATTGTTTACACTTACATAGTGCTTTTCTGGACACTCCACTCAAAGCTCTTTACAGGTAATGGGGTCTTCCCTCCCCCACCACCACCAATGTGCAGCATCCACCTGGATGATGCAACAGTAGCCATAGTGCACCAGAACACTCACCACACATCAGCTCTCAGTGGGGAGGAGAACAGAGTGATGAAGCCAGTTCATAGATGGGGATTATTAGGAGGCCATGACTGGTAAAGGCCAATGGGAAATTTGGCCAGGACGCTGGGGTTACACCCCTACTCTTTTCAAGAAACGACCTGGGCTTTTTAATGACCACAGAGAGTCAGAACCTCGGTTTTACATCTCACCCGAAGGACGGCGCCTGTTTACAGTATAGTGTCCCCGTCACTATACTTGGGCATTAGGACCCTCAGAGACTGCAGAGTGAGCGCCCCCTGCTGGCCTCACTAACATCACTTCCAGCTGCAACCTTAGTTTTTTTCCCAGGAGGTCTCCCATCCAGGTACTGACCAGGCTCACACCTGCTGAGCTTCAGTGGGACTGCCAGTTGTGAGTTGCAGGGTGATGTGGCTGCTGTATGTTTTCCCAGTGTTCATGTGGGTTTCCTCCTGCAGTCCAAAGACATACTGGTGGGTTAATTGGCTTCTGGGAAAGCTGGACCTGGTGTGAGTGTGTTTGTGACTGCGTGGCCCTGTGATGGACCGGTATCCTGTCCAAGGTGTATCTGACTTTGTGCCCATTTCTTGCCAGGACTTACCCTGGACTGGATGAAGCAGGTAGAAAATTGATGGGTGGTAATTACATACAGTAGATATATGTTTTTGAGTCAGCAAAGTATTGAGGAGAAATCTGGGAGAAAGGTTCATTTGTCATGGTAAAGTTGGGAGAAACCTACAGTACTTCACCGAGGTAGGTTCTTCTGTTGGCAGAAAGGTAAATGTCTTTTGACTTTTGATTTTGCTGGTCTACATCAACAAACTACGAAATGACTATTTCTCTATTTCTGATCGATTCATGACGCAAGACAAAAGGATTCAGCTCAGAGGACAACACAAATTTGTAGTCTTTGTCTAGAGCTGAACAGAGACACAAAGAGCAAGGCCTGGTGGAATTGTGCAGTTCCTGTGTCAGTGAAATAGCCCAGTCTTTCCTTGATTCTGCACAGTTACATCAAAGTGTGGGATGACATGGTGGGATCAATAAGCCACTGTTTATATACAGTATGATTTTGTATTTTTTAATTGTTTTCAGCTATAATGTTTCATATAATAATATGAACTGAAACATTAAACAGAGGTCCCGTTCACTACTGATCCTACATCGCCGTTCTTAAGATTAAGGGTGTTAACCCTGGTAAACCCTGAGTAAACCCCACTCTGGTCTTGTACAGTTTCTCTCTCCTCCCCTGATCTGTGTGTCGTGGGGCTGCAGGAGGACTGAACCCCACTCTGGTCTTGTACAGTTTCTCTCTCCTCCCCTGATCTGTGTGTCGTGGGGCTGCAGGAGGACTGAACCCCACTCTGGTTTTCTGATTTTCTCTGATTTGTATGTAGTTTGGCAGTAGGAATACTCTAATTTCAATTAGAAAAACTGATTTGAGAATAAGAAGCCCGATTTGCTTCTGCTTTTGTTAATGAATATCAGAAGTGAGTTTTAATCTCTTCTGTGTGCTATGCTGAAAAACTTACTCAGAATTCCAGTAGGAGATACATTTTGAATATATCACCGCAGTATTACAACGCCTACAGAATAGTTGTTTTTATTACATAAGTAATACAGCAGAGGGCGTTATTGTTCTGAATATTACTCAACAGGATTGTATTAACCTTTCCCCCGGCCGGAACTCAAGGTCAATGTTCTTCTGGAAGGGAGGTACACATCAACAATCTTAAATTATCTTGGAAAGTGTACACAGTACAGACCTGGTTAGGGTCTTTAATAATAGGGCATCCTTTCGACATCCAGTCTAAACCTGCAGATGTTTTTCTCAGTAACTAAGAACTAAAAACAAACAGGAAAAAATAAACACATTTTATTCTCTTTCTTCAGAATTCAATTTCTCAAGTTATGGCATGCCTAGGACGTAGATTTCCAATTCCAGGCCTTGTCTAATATTTCTACTACCTTGGATAAAAATGTGAGAGTTGAGATTTTGTATGAGGACGGGATTTGAAATGATTATAGTGTAGACTTCTGGCAGTGCCAGAGAACCTATTTATAGTGTATATGGAGGAAAAGGTGTGTTTGTGCACCATTTTGCACACTTCTGGTATGTACTTTATGACAGATTGACAAGTGACTGTGATCTTTCTTCACGTCATTGACAGAAACAAACGGCAATTAAAGGACGGCTAAGAACCTTCCTAAATCTCTGAATGGTCAGAACCTGCTGAATGACAGCTAATTCTACCTATTAGGTCAACCTTTGTCTTAGGCGGTCGAATTGAAAAAACAAGGGGGCCTTCGGCAGTCATTTTTAACAGAGCGTTTTTTCCTTGCACGTGATTTTGTTTTAATTGGGGAATACTTTTTTTCAAGGTAGGAGACGTTTTTTATCGTGGCGAATTTTTGCTTCTGAGATTGTATTTTCCTGGAGGATTGATAAATGATGGGTTTTGGTGCGTCTCTAAACTGAAACACTACAGTATATAATTATATGAAAAAAGATTCATTTTATTTATGCTGTTGAGTCTGTTGTAACCTTGAAAAGCTTAGGCTGGGTTGTCTTGTAATATACTGTATAGTCTGCTTGACTTTGCTGGTAAAAATATGTATAATGCACCTGTTTCTTTTGAACTGCTGTTTTTAACATTATGCTGTTCATTTGTTTTTGTTTGTTTCCAGTCCGGGCTCTTTGTTAAACAATAGTTTCACTGCTGTGAAAACAAACATAATGGTTGTATTAAGCATTTGTGATACTTTGAGAAACATTTCAAAATATCTCGTTAATGGTAACATAAAGTATACCGTTAACTGCAGATTATGTGTCGGTCCGGGTGGGGACAAGATGGTGGCATTGTGTTAAAGCGGAACATTCCATTTAACTCTTGACAATTCAAGCAGTGCTTACATTACTGCGTTCCTGGTTCTCCAGGTACTCACAAAATTTCATCAGAGTGAAAAACACAAAGTTTTTAATCAACACTAATTAATGCACAAACCTCAATGTACTGAAATTAGACTGTAAATTGGGTGGCATGGTAGCGCAGTGGTTAGCACTGCTGCCTCGCAGCACTGGGGCTGTGTGTTCAATTTTGGACCCGGGTTGCTACCTGTATGGAGTTTGTATGTTCCATTGCTAGCTGCCTCCCAACCCTGTACTGGATAAAGCCTGTATACAGTAGGTGGATAGCGTGTAAATTTGCCATTAATTGCATTAATGACTGTTGCAGGATGTCCAGTCAGGGGTATTTTAAAAAAAAGTGGATCAATTATTGTAGAGAAGACAAATACAAATGATTTAGAATATTCATTGACTTGTCAAGTAATTCGTTTTGGAAAGTGCTGTATCAGCTTGCTCGACTGTGCATCAGGCAGAACTATCCTACTAATGCTGTTGAGCTGAAGGGGGTCTTGGACCCTTTTCCAATGGAAACAGGTGATCCGTCTTGTTCGGGAGCTGAAAATGTCTGTGATCTGAGACAACGTCTGCTTGCTTGGTGACTCTGGCAGTGCTGTGCTTAGATGGGCTGCCCGCACTCTCAGTCCAGGCACAGGGAGATCACTCATCTTATTACCACCTCCTCGGCTCTGGTTTTCCTTTTTGTAACAGCTGACTGGTAAATTCATTCAGTATATTCTTGCCCATATCCTTCCAACTCTCCACCTTTGCGACTCAGACTCTGCTGTGTTGTGTTTAATGTAGTCGCGTCAGTTGAGCCTCGCAATACTTTTAACATGATGTGCAACTTCTG